TTTCTAAATGGAAAATAAGATTAAACGAAGATAAAACGCAAGCTATTATTTTTCCTTTCAACAAGTCACCAAAACGAAATCCAACAATAACCCTAAGCGTTCATGGAACAGAAATCCCCATACAAAACAGTGTTAAATACCTTGGAATAACACTAGATAAAAAAACTACACATTAAACTACACATTAAACTACAAAAACAAAATGTTATTATATAAAATGTGTATAAGGCCCATATTGACATATGGAAGTCAAGTTTGGTATTCTAAAGCTGCTAATACTCACAAGAAGAAACTTCAAATAATCCAAAACAAGAATTTAAAAATAATATTCAATTTGCCTCTACGCTATTCAACATACTACCTGCATAGAAATTTCAACCAGGAAACTTTCAGTGCATTGGTAGATCGCCTAAACAGAAGCTTTGAAGATCGAAACAGATTTTCAAGTCATGAATTAATAAGAAATTTATAGATAGGCTGTCTTCCAAATCTTCACATAGAAGATGATAGAAGCTGCCGTTATCAACATTTCTTTACTCCTTTATTAGGTTTTTCACTATCTTTTTTTCCTAAAAATGTTTTAAAATAATATTAAATGTTTACTCACCCATAAAATAAGATACGATTTGTTGCAATACTTTTAGTAAATTCTCAAGATATGTTTACTCTAATTTTAAATTTGAAAATGTAATAATGATAGTACAAATAAAAAATAAAAAAAAAAAAAAAAAAAAAAAAGGGAGCCCTCCACCCTGACCACGACAATTAACTATACCTAGTCCTATCCTCCAAAGATCAGGTCCAATTTGTTCACTTTCCATTTTCGAATATACCACCAATGTCTAACCAATTAACCCATTCCAATCACCTTAAATCATTGGCGCCAATCTTTTCCACTGCTACCAATGGGGTAGGGTCCAAACAACACAAACAACATGAAGTACATTTCGCGTGGTTCATCGTCGCCGTCGTCAATCGATAATCTCTGCGCGGCATTCATCACAAGTGGCTTAAGGCACCACCAGCAACAACAGCACGCAGTGGGTGCATCATCGCCGCCGTCACTTTATTTATGGCGCTTATCAGAAATTGATAATTATAAGTTCTTTTATTTTCGAACGTATAGTTATTCTGCATGTCGATCTATCTTTGTTTCTAGGTGGCGATCGGTCGTACTAAGAATATATTTAATTATGTGACTGATTTTTGTTTAATGAAAGAAAGTTTCAAAGTCCATTCTAGTAATGAAACTATTTCTGTATCATCTACAGAGGAAAATATTCAGAATTTCATTGGCCATAATTTTTAATTTTTTTTAAATGTTATTGAATGAAAGCAAACAATGTCGGAATTAGCATCAAATTTTAGAATAAGTTAAGATTTGTTCGAATTGGTCACCTTTGGCACGAATTATGGCCAATGAATATTCAAATGGCCAATGAAACCGCCACACGCTGCCCCAATGTTGTTCTGCGAAATTTTGGCCCATTCCCGGCGAAGCGCTTGCTTGAGGTGATCGACACTTTGGTATTTTTTAGTGCCAACCTTGCTTTCCAAAATACTCCAGAAACAATAGTCCAGCGGATTGGTGTCCGGAGATTTTTGTGGCCATTGTGCGCTGGACATGAAGCGAGAAACCTCATTTTGTAACCATTCTTGGGTGGCTCGTGCTGAGTGCGATGGTGCTGAGTCCTGTTGGAATGTCCAAGGTCTGGGGCCAAAATGTTTGCGTTCCCAAGGCTTTAATACACCCTCCACAACATTTTCGAGATAATATTCGGCATTTATTCTGATACCACATTCGCTCTTTTGTGTCTATTTTCTTTCCGTTGCGGTGTAAGTTCTTGCACTTTTTGGAATTTCAATGGCTTTACCCTGAGCTCATTTTTCAATATTTGCCGAATGGAATATTGTGATATGTTCAGCTCACGAGCCATTTTCGGCCACTGCGACACGGGTTTCGATCAAGTTGCTTCTTTACCTTTCAAACCATTTTTGCTGGTGTTGCTGTTTTCTTCCGTCCACTTCCTTGACGTTGCTACTGGCTACGCTATCAGTAGCCACGGTAACAAGCAATGGTGCGGGACACAAAACATTTATTCACATTAAAATGCTGATGCTGGAGTGCTCTAATGATAGCCACTAGCGGGTTTTCAACCAAATATAAAGAAATCACACTATCACGCTTGAATTCCATCACGAATAACTTTTTTTCTGGAAAATTCTCACAATAATGCTTTGCAAAACCTGCCACATCGCAATATTTATATGATATTTATTTAGGTCCAATACGAAGTGGACACTGTTGGCCCATTCCTTCGGAATCTACTCCATAGAGGTTGAATAATTTGAATAATAATGACAGAAGTCAAAATATATTTAAATATATAATCGAAAGTTGGCTGAGGGTATCTATCTATCAAACTGACAGTTTTTTTTTTTTTTGGAGAAGAATTTCTATGCTGAATCAGAGCTACAACCACGGATTTCTAACATCTATATCTGAGGCATTTTTAACAGATAGATTTTGCGGACAATTTTACCAATTTTTCGAAAAAAAACAAGTACAAAAGCTTTAAGTTCAGCCGGGCCGAAATTTGAATACCCTCCACCATTTGGAAAATGGTCCGTGAAAAATTCTGTTTAAATCTTAAAAATACTGAATGTAGTCGTTATATTAGGGTCTATACGACGACGCGGATCTGCTAAGACAACTTTTGCCATCAGCCATTACGATATTCAAATGCGAAACTTGAAATAAAAAAAACAGTAAATAATGTAGCTAAAATCGCTAAAATCATTAGAATACCGAATATCGGGAGGTACCGTTATATGGGGGCTATAAGAAGAAGTGGACCTACATGGCCCATTTTCTGTTTTATGCTGTAGTGTCTATTACGAACTTCAAATACCAAATTTGAAACAATTCCGGTAAATAATGTCGCTGAAATCATCAAAATACCGAATATCGGGAGGTGCCGTTATATGGGGGCTATACGAAGACGTAAACCTGCACAGACAATTTTTTGTCATAGGCAGTAGTATCCATTTCGAACTTCTAATACCAAATTTGAAACAATTCCGGTGAATAATGTCACTTAAATCATCATAATAGCGAATATCGGGAGGTACTGTTATATGGGGGCTATACCAAAACGTCGTTCTGCACAGAAAATTTTCGGTCATGGGCTGTAGTATTCATTACGAGCATGAAATATCAAAATTGAAACAATTCCGTTGAATAATGTCGCTAAAATCATCAAAATACCGAATATCGTGAGGTTCCGTTATATGGTGGCCATACGAAGACGTGAACCTGCACAGACAATTTTCTGTCATAGGTTGTAGTATCGATTCCGAACTTCAAATACAAAATTTGAAACAATTCCGGTAAATAATGTCGCTGAAATCATCAAAATACCGAATATCAGGAGGTACCTTTATATGAGGGCTAAAAACCGAATTAGGCAGTTCACCACTTTAGCTCTTTTGACCTCTTTGCGGTGTAAGTTCTTGCACTTTTTGGAATTTAAATAGCTTCACTCCGAGCTCATTAATTCAATATTTGCCGAATGGAATATTGCGATATGTTCAGCTCACAAGCCATTTTTCGGCCACTGCAATGCGGGTTTCGATCAAGTCGCTTCTTTACTTTTCGAACCACTTTTGCTGATGTTGCTGTTTTCTCCCGTCCACTTTCTTGACGTCGGGCTACGCTACCAGTATCACGGTAAAGAGCGATGGTACGACACACAAAATATTTATTCACATTTAAATGCTGAAGTGCTCTAACGATAGCCACTTGATAGCCAAATATAAAGAAATCACTATCACGGAATGGTTTCAAATTTGGTATTTGAAGTTCGTAATGGATGCTACAACCTATGACAGAAAATTGTCTGTACAAGTCTACGTCTTCGTATAGCCCCCATATAACGGTATCTCCCGATATTCGGTATTTTGATGATTTTATTTACAATACCCACCGAAATTGTTTGAGATGTCGTATTTGACGTTCGTAATGGATGCTATTGCCTGTGACAGACAATTGTCTATGCTGGTCCAGGTCTTCTTACAGCTCCGGTATAACAGTACCTCCCTATATACGATATTTTGATGATTTTAGCCGTTTATTTCAAGTTTCGAATTTGAATACGATAATGGCTCAACGTCCTATAGACCCCAATATAACGGCTATATTCGGTATTTTTAAAATTTTAACAGAATTTTTTAAGGATTTTATTTTTTAAAAATTTCCAAATTCGTTCCAAACGGTGGAGGGTTTTCAAAGTTCGGCCCGGCCGAACTTACTGCTTTTTAACCCTGTTTTTTTTGAAGACCTTTTGGATGTTCAATTTTTTTTTTAAATATTTTTTGAAGGACAACTCCCAAATGTGGTCTTTTGCTATTGACTCCCATCGATTTATGTTAATCCCAACATAACAACGTCCCACCCCCCTTCATTTTATCCCCATTGTTTGTTCTAAATAAAATACAAAAAAGTTTGGTTTTAGAATTTATCAAATTTATATTTATTTTTAATATTTTTTTAAATATTTTCATATCTCCTTCTTTTAATTATTGTATACCAATTTTTAAAATTTTCTTTTCATGTTGTTGTTGTTGTTTTTCTTTTTTTCATATCACTTTGTCTTGTTCACAATGTAAAGGACTTAAGTCTAGAATTTTGTTTAACATTTCTGTGATTGCCTTTTTAAGGAAGACTTTTTTAAAGATTTTATTGTTTAAGCCATTTAGCAGGTCATTAAAGCCATATGCAATTATATTATTATATTTTTCTTGTTATTAAAACAATATATTAAAAAAATTAATAATTATTTTTTTGTTGTTGTATATATAATAATAATAAAAAAAAATATGTAAACATTTTTTAATAAAAACTTTACAACCACCAGGTGGTTAAATTAAATCTTGTGATGAAGCTTTTTATTTTAAATTATTTATTTATTAATTTATGTTTAAATGTGTGTGTATATAGATCTATAATACTTAATACTCTTGTAACTGACATCATTCTAGAGTTGTGTGTTTGTGTGAGAAGGTGTGTGAGAGCGAGATGATGTTTATTTGTGTGTGTGTTTTTGTTTTTCTTGGTGAGGTAGTTGAGTTCCTTGATTTTTGTGATGTAAATATCCTTTTAGCCTTACACCCTCTCTCTCTCTCTTTTCATAATAGTAATGTAAGAGAGAGCCAAATTGTTTTTTTTTACTCTCTGCTGAGTCTGTTTTGGTAAGGAATGAGCGCATGACTCTATTTTAGCAATATACTCTCCATGGGCGTATAGTAAAGAGCAGCCTCCATCCCAGCCATCCATGGCCAACAACAGTCCCAGAAAATGCAACGAAGATGAAAATTCAAACACCTGTGGCACATTTCCCCCTTTTTCCGGTTTGGTGTGGAAAACGTTCAGGTGTGAGTGAGAACGATAGATACGAACGATACAAGATGAGATGAGCAGAATTATTTTATCCCTGGATCAGCTAGTTTTGTTGAGGTTTTTTTGTGTTTGTTTTTTAGTTTGGTCTGGCCTTGGGCCTCCATTTTGTACTCCATTTTGGTCATTTTGTTTGTTTGTTTAGCCATTTTGGCCTTGGCAAAAATTAGGTTATCCTGTCTCTTTGCTCTTCAAATGATTTCCGGTTGTGTGACACGCCATCATCATCGTTTGGGCCTGAGCCTGGCTATCTTTTGATACAAAAGAACTGTTCAGTCTCTTTCGAGTAGGCAGCAGTGACTCCTCTCAATTTTTGGGTGGGTGGGGGTTGGCCACTTCACCATGGACGCCAGACGGGCTCTTCTTCTTTGATTTGTTTTTTGGTTACCAGGGATAGGGGTTGTTGCATTTGTGGTTGCTGGGCAGCTGGGGCATGATGGATGACCGAGGGTTTGTAATCCATGGCCTCATGGGAATTGGCAGGGCTGGGTGGGGCAAAATGCATCATGTGATTGGAGGCGGGGTAAACATGTTCATAGGTGGACTGAGAGCTGTGCGATGAAGCCGATCCAGTGCTGGCTGTGCGGCTGGGAATGGGCACCAACATGGGAGGTTGTTGTGGCTGTGTCTGCTGTTGTTGTTGTTGTTGATGATGGGGGTGAACTTGTCCCGGTTGTTGGGGAGGCAAAACCAAGGCAATACTGCCATTGGGTAATTTGGTGGGTATCACCTGCAGACCATTGGGCAGGAAGTAGCCATGGGGTGTTTGCTGAATCTGCGAGCTCATAATATATTGCTGATGTTGATGATGGTGATCTTGTTCCGGCGAGGAGGGTGGTGAAGGCAAGATTTGTCCATGCAATTGTTGTACGGCAGCAGCAGCGGCAGCCTGTTGACGTTGCTGGGCATGCATTTCGGTTTTGACACCATTAATGCAGTTTTGCAAATGTTGTAAAAGGCGGCGCTTCACTGAGGGTTCCAAACCGGGAAAGCGGGACACCTCATTGGCACAGTCGGTGAAACCAGCCTTGAATTTGTTGATGATCTTTGGATCGGCTGCCTGTTGCATGGCGGCCTGTTGACGTTGCAGTTCTTGTAGATGTTTGACGGTCTTTTCCAAGATATCGGCCTTTTCCAATTTGGAGTGACGAGCCGGCTAAAATGAGAGGAGAAAAGAGAGAGAGAGGAAATTAGTAAAGGTTGTTAAATTGGGAGAAATGTTTATTTTTAATGGGAATTTCTTGATTAGAATTAAAAAAAAATTGAATTAAAAAAAAAACGTCAGACTTTTTAGATAATGTTTTTTCTATTAATTTTTTGATAATTTTAAAATTTTTTTAATTTAATTTTTTTTTATTAATTTTTTAAAAAAAATATTTTATTTTTATTAAAATTAAAAAAAATATTTGTTGTTATAAAATTAAAAAATATTGATTTTATTTAAAAAAATTAATGAAAATATTTAAATATTTTTTTAATAATAAATATTTTTTTTATAAAATAAATATATTTTTATGAAAATTTGTTCATTTAATTTTTTAATTAAAAATATTTTTTAATAAAAAAATTATAAAAGAAAATGTTCTTTTTAATAATAAATATTAAAAAATATATTTTAAAGACTTTTTATTAAACTTTAAAAAATTGTATTTTTTTATTAAAAAAAAATATTATTTTTTATTAAAAAAAATATAAATTATTTGTTAATATTTTTTGTTGTTGTATAAATTTTTTATACATATTTTTTGTTACATAAAAAATATTTTTTAAGTTAAGTATTTTTTAAATTTTTTTTAATATTTTTTTAAGAAATTCCATTTTTTGTTTTAAATTTTATTTTAATTTTTTTCATAAAATTTATGTAAATACTTACGTCTTTCTTGGTTGCATCCAATATTAACGTTTTCAGTTCATTTAAACAGTTATTGATGCGTGCTCGTCGTCTTTTTTCCATAATGGGTTTGTTAGACTAAAAAGAAAAATCGAAAAAAAAATATAAAAATTAGTTACGAAATTTAAAAAAAAAAACATCATTAAATAAAAAATATAAAAAATGGAAAAAAAAAATATATTTAAATTTGTTTAAAAAGATTTTTTATTATTTTATTTTTTTAAGTTTTTATTTTTAAATAATTGAAAATATTTTAATAATTAATATTTGAAAATTAATGGTTTTTATTAATTTAAAAAAAAATATCATTTGAAAAAAAATGTCAGAAAATTAACACCGATTATAATATTATACATATTATTAATAATTATTAGAAAAGTTTAAAACATTTAAAAAATATTAAAAATTATTTTTAAATACAGTTTTTTACTTCGTTTTTAATTTATTAAAAAATTAATAAAAAATAAAAATTAAAAAATTGAAGCATTAAAATAAATTTAAATATTTTTTCCTTTTTAATTAAAAAGAATGTAAACAAAAAAATTTTAATATATTAATCATTAAAAAATAAATAAAAAAAATAAAATTTATAAAAAAAAAAAACAAAAATTCAAGCATTAAAATATATTTAAATATGTATTTTTTTATTTAGAAATAAATAAAAACATTTACAATTTACAATTTATTTATTACTTTTAAATTATTAAAAAATTGTAAAATATCTCAAAATTATTTTTAAAAAAATTTGAAAAAATAAAAAAAATATTATTTGAAATGTTTTAAGCAAAAATTAAAACATTTAAAAAACTATTTTTATTATATATTAATTTTTAATTATTTAAAATTCTCAAAATTATTTTTAAGATAAAAATAAAAAAATAATAATATTTTGAAAAAATAAAAAATATTAATTGAAATATTTTAAGCAAAAATTGAAACATTTAAAGAATTTTTAATAATTTTTGTATTAAAAATGTAAATAAAAATATTTGTAATTTATTTTAATTGCATTACTCTTTAAATCAAAATAATGTTTAAGCCAAAAAAATAAAATAAAAATATTTTTGTAAATCATAAATGTTTTTATATAATTTGTATTTCCTTAAAAATGTTTTGAAAATCACCCCTACCAATTTTTGACCCCATGCTAAACCATCTATTTCCACATCTCTCTACATAAAATCATTGCCCCCCTAGGTTATTTTTATTTTTTTTATTCGAAAAAAATCCAAATATCTTTAAAAGTGTGCCTGTGTGTGTTCATTATTTTTTTGTTTTTAATTTAGTTTTATAACTAAATTAAGCATTGCAAATAAAATAAATGAAAATAAATATATATAGAATTATAGTGTATTGTTTAAAAATATCCCAAAGGTGAGGTGGTGCGCGATGCTGTTGCTGCTGCCGCCTTTGGTCTGGGGGTGCTGCCGTCGGCACACGCTAAAAAGCGAAAAAAAACACACACACAACAGCGCGATCGCTCTTTAATTGGTAAGCAAAACAATTATGGCATTTGGCCAAAGCAGCGAAATATTCTATTCTGTGGATCGCGTGCGATATTTTTGGGTACATTGTTGTGCAGAATGCCTCATTTACCCCCCACCCCCTTTCTTGGCTAAAATTAGGAAGTCGAAAACAAAATTACACCAGAAATTTTTGGTGGTGAGGATGAGAAGAAGTGGGGGTGGGGGTGGGGTTGCGGGAGTATTGGCTGAGACCATAAAGAAAAATACCTTTGCTATTTTCATACAGACTGTCATTATTGGCATGTGATGCTGCTGGCTACGTTCTACCACAAGGTCGTATGGCCACACACAAATTTTTTTGGCAATTGGCTAAGGCAGCCATATAGGGAGATTTTTTATTTATTTCGTCGTTGGCCGCTTATGAGTTGAGGGAAAAACGCCACCACAATTTTGTTGTTGTTATATTTCGAAAAAAAATGCACATGTGCGGTCATGTGTTTTTGTTTGGTTGACCATTTGTCGTGGTCGTCGTCGGGGGCCCAGTGAAGTCATCGCCACCATCCATTATTCAAATGTTGGCGTTGAGTGAGTGATATGGCCAAAAATCGACAAATACCAATTAACAATTACATTGCCACAATTTAAAAATGGTAACAATGCGTTGGCCAGCCAGGCAGAGTGTGCGGCGGCTGGAGATTGGAGGCCCATAAATGAGCAAAACGAAACCAATATTTTCGGAGGCAGCAAATGACGCCCTCCACACATCCACATCCACGACTTGGATTTGGACTTTGATTTTTATTTTTTATGAATGAAATTTTGGTATGATTCAGCCAAGTTGTTGTTGGCTTCAAACATATGGTGAATATTTTTTCGATTCGATTTCGATTTTTTTTATTTATGGAAATAGTGCCCCACACACTCTTTGAAAATGACGCCAAAACCATGTTGAACTGGAGTGAGTGTGTCTGTGTTGGTTTTGGCATCACTTTCCGAATCAGGGTGAATGGATGGATGAATGAATGAATGCGCCAAAATGCGTTGGCTGGAAATGTGTGGCGGTGGCGACGGAAAAGCCAAGTTTGGGTTCAACCACTTTTACAAAAAAAAAAAAACTAAAAGGCAAGTGAGTTACTCCATTCGAGAGTGGGGGTCAAAAATTGTTGTAGGCCGCCACTTTTGTTTTTTTTTTTGGCAAAAAATTTAAATACAATATTCTACAGCTAATATCCGCCAAAGTTTATTTGGGTGGGTGATAAATACTTACACGACGATCACTTTTGGTGGGTGCCTCCTTGGCGGCATGAGGTACGGGAGCTCCAATAACATTGGCGGTCATGGTTGGGCCACAGACACCGGTAACCATATTTATTTTGTTTATATTTTTTTTCAAAAAATTTAAATCACAATTTGTTTTTCAATTTCTTGCCTTGCAAGTTTTCAAAATTTTTCACTTGGCAATTTTTTTTAAATTATTGTTTGAATTTTATTTTCAATTTTTTCTCTTTTCTTCCGATATCACAAAGTTCCGCTTTTCGAAAAAAACGTTGCGTTTATTTTTTTCGTTCTAACTTGCTTGCGGTTTCAGTTCAGTTTTTTTTAGTAATTTCTAAGTTCTCTGGCGTTTCGCGGCGTTAGCACTCCGTTGTTGCTTCTTCAACGATCAGCGAACGTATGAAACAAGTGTTCACTTGGCAGGCTGATAAAAATGACTTCAATCGGTTGTTGACTAGGTTAGTTGGTCGCCCTCAAAAAACAAGAGAGGGAGAACGTATAACACATAAATCACACTTGGGAGAGAGCAATCACACATAGAGAGAGAGCGGCTGTGCAAAACAAAAAATAAACCGTTGTTCTTATCTTTTGCCGTTGTTGTTATTTTTTTTTTGGCTTAATTTCCGTTTTTATTCCAAAGAGGCAGAGAGATAGAGAGTGTGAGTGATTGGGTGAGAGAAGAAGAGCTCTTTATCGTTTGGCTTGTAGCAGACGACTGACGATTGATCGACAGGTTCGTTGGGTAAATCGTTTTAACGAGACGCGCAGCAGAGCGAACAAACACACGAGAAAGGAAAAAGCCACACGACCATATAAAAATACCACACAGCAAAATCAACAACACCGCCAACAAAAATAAATGCCGACCAACAGCAACAACACACAGCCATGTAAGCCACATGTGTATGTATGTACGTACGGTTGTCGGTATGTCTTTATCAAGCTGTTGCTGCGGTTGCTCTCCCTCTGCCTGGGCTCACACACAGCAGTAGTCGAAGAGCATGGGTCGTGGTGCTGGTGCTGACGACAGCGCTGGTGGTTGGTGTTGGTAATGATGATGGCAAGACGGACGGACAGACAGACAGACAACTCAGTGACTACCTGGTTACCCAAGTACCACCACTTATGGGTCTATCACCACCACACATATCACAGCAACAGCAACAATCATCATCATTCAAGCCGAGTCAGCCGGTCAGCCAACCAAGCATGCGATGCAAAATAATAACAACAACAACCAACACAGATATTGCAATATTTGTTGTTATTTTGTGGATTTACAACAACAAAAATATTGACATTTTGTTGTTGTTGTTACACTGATGTATTGCATTTTTTCTTTATTGTTGTTGTTGCATTTTTTGATTAACTTCAACTGCGGACCCAGCATCATCATCCATCACTTATGATGGTTTATTTGTGGGCTTTGTGTGCAGTACAACAACAATGCAGAAATGTTGGTGTTGTTGTTATTGTTTTTGGTCACTATGTTGGAGAGCAGTAAGTATACATTGGAGAACAGGATTTTTAAGCAATTATCTTTGGAAATGTTTATGGCCCGCTATACTATGAAGGGTATATTCGGTTTGTCATTTGTAACTCCTCGAAATAACCATTTTCGACCCATAGATTCACGTTTTTGCCTCCATATAACGAAGCACGTTTTGTATACCCTAAGCCATATGGCTAGAGAGGGTATATATCATTTGATACGGTCAAAACGTGCCTCATCGAAATAATGGATTTAGACTCTAGGACTCTTTGGGCATTTGGAGTGAATCTGGCGATGTTCGTCCGTCCGTCTGTTTGGTATGCACGATAACTCTGGAAGGGAGTTTGCAATTTGATCCAAAATTGGTATATCGTAATATTATTGTTCAACTTAGGTCAGGTTCGGAGATGAGCAATATTGGTTCATTCCTTCATTCTGGTGCCTACAGGGGCAAACATTTTCAAAAAAAAAAAAAAAAAAAAAAAAAAATATTTTACTGCACAAAAAGAAAAAGGATAATTCGATTTTTCTCCCACTTTGCAAATCCTAATATTTCCATGAGTGCCAGGTCAGATGCGAAAATGGACAATATCGGTCGACTCCATCATGGACCTCATCCACAAAACGGTCAACATTTTCCATATCCACGAAGCTCATAAAAAGCGGTATTAACATCCGATGTCATTCAGACTTGGTACATCTCAATATTTCCATCAGCCCAAGATCTGTTATAAATATAGTAGAGATCGAACCATTCCTTCTGGTACCTCCCCCACAAAGGGTCAATGTTTTAAATAAACAAAACGATCAGAAAATCCGAAATAATCGAATAATTCTTTTCATATTTCACATATCGCATTATTTCTACTAACACAAGATCTTCTGTGAAGATGAGATTTATCGGCCTACTCCTTCTGATACCACACCCACAGAGGGTCAAACTTTTGAATATACACGATGCTCACAAAACGCGAAATTAACATCCGATTCCATTCAGACTTGGTAAATCTCAATATTTCCATCAAATCAAGATATATTATAAAGATGGAGGAGATTGGTTCATTCCTTATTGTACCCCCCCCCCCCACATAGTATTCAAGATTTTGAGAAGCAAAACCCTCAAAGAAGGCGAAATAGTACCCATAACGAACTTCAAATACCAAATTTGAAACAATTCCGGTGAATAATGTCGCTAAATAATCAAAATACTGAATATGGGGAGGTACTGTCATATGGACGCTATACTAAAACGTGGGCCTATATGACCCATTTTCAATACCAAAAGTCCTGCAGACATAATTTACATTTGAGTAAAATTTTATCAACCTATTTCATTTTGTTCGGAAGCTATTAGAAATAGAATTTTATGCTGCTCAAAAATATATATGTACTTTGTGGGTCTAAAATGTATATTCCGAGGTGTTACAAACGGAATGACAAACTTAATATATCCTCCATACAATGGTGGAGGCCCAATATTTTTTATCAGTGTTGGGATGAAGAGAAATACTTCGGTCCACTAAATCTGGTACCTTACTCACAATTGGAGATCCCTCTCACAGCACAAACCGATGTCGATAAATGACATTTCATAAATATATCATACAGAAAGAGCCTATATGAGGGCTGTAACTTAATATTCCCATTTTCAGTTTTATCTTCATTGAAAGCCTTAAACACTAAATTGCATCCAAATCGATACCTATCACAGTCCTTGCAAAATAATGTTAATGTGGGTTAACAATTTGATATAACACCCTAAGAACCCTACATCCAATGTGACTTCTTTGAAGGGGTTTCGAATGAAATTTAAAGTTCTAATTTGGGATAGGTTAACAAATTGATGAGCCAAAAACTGTCAACATTGAACATGAACCCTACACCCGATTTGAGGATTTTTATACACTCCACCATAGTATGGAGGGTATATTAAGTTTGTCATTCCGTTTGTAACACTTCAAAATATACATTTTAGACCCCACAAAGTATATGTATTCTTGATCAGCATAAAATTCTATGTCGATTTAGCGATGTCCGTACGTCTATCCGTCTGTGCAAATCACTCTAGCTTCCGAACGAATTGAAGTAGATTGATAAAATTTTACTCAAATGTAAATTATGTCTGCAGGACTTTTGGTATTGAAAATGGGTCATATAGGTCCACGTTTTGGTATAGCCCCCATACAACAGTACCTCCCGATATTCAGTATTTTAATTATTTAGCGACATTATTCACCGGAATTGTTTCAAATTTGGTATTTGAAGTTCGAAATGGATACTACAGCCTAAGACAAAAAACTGTCTGTGCAAGTCCACGTCTTCGTATAGTCCCCATATAACGGTACCTCCCGATATTCGGTATTTCGAGGATTTTAGCGACATTATTCACCGGAATTCTTTCAAATTTAGTATTTGAAGTTCGAAATGGATACTACAGCCTATGACAGAAAATTGTCTTTGCAGGTCCACGTCTTCGTATAGTCCCCATATAACGGTACCTCCCGATATTCAGTATTTTAATTATTTAGCGACATTATTAACCGGAATTCTTTCAAATTAAGTATTTGATGTTCGAAATGGATACTACAGCCTAAGACAGAAAATTGTCTTTGCAGGTCCACGTCTTCGTATAGCCCCCAAATAATGGTACCTCCCGATATACGGTATTTTGATGATTTTAGCGACATTATTCACCGGAATTCCATCAAATTAAGTATTTGATGTTCGAAATGGATACTACAGCCTAAGACAGAAAATTGCCTGTGCAAGTCCACGTCTTCGTATAGTCCCCATATAACGGTACCTCCCCATATTCGGTATTTTGATGATTTTATCGCCATTATTCACCGGAATTCTTTCAAATTTGGTATTTGAACTTCGAAATGGATGTTACAGCCCACGACAGAAAATTGTCTCTGTAAGTCCACGTCTTCGTATAGCCCTCATATAACGGTACCTCCCGATATTCGGTATTTCGATGACTTTAGCGACATTATTTACCGGAATTGTTTCAAATTTGGTATTTCAAGTTCGAAATGGATATTACAGCCTATGACAGAAGATTGTCTCTGTAGGTCCACGTCTTCGTATAGCCCCCATATAACAGTACCTCCCGATATTCGGTATTTCGATGATTTTAGCGACATTATTCACCGGAATTCCATCAAATTAAGTATTTGATGTTCGAAATGGATACTACACCTAAGACAGAAAATTGTCTATGCAGGTCCAGGTTTTCGTATAGGCCCCATATATCAGTACCTCCCTATATTCGGTATTTTGACGATTTTAGGTACAATACCCACCGAAATTGTTTGAGAACTCGTTTTTGAAGTTCGTAATGGATGTTACAGCCTGTGACAGAAAATTGTCTATGCAGGTTCAAGTCTTCGCACAGCTTCGATATAACGGAACCTCCCTATATACGATATTTTGATGATTTTAGCTACACTATTCACCGTTTATTTCAAGTTTCGATTTTTAATATGGTAATGGCTTATGACAAACAATGCCTCTGTAGGTCCACGTCGTATAGACCCCAATATAACGGCTATAAATTTTTAAATTTTTAAAAGAAATTTTTAAGGATTTTATTTTTTGAAAATTTCCAATTCAATTCATTCCAAATGGAGGAGGAGGGTATTCAAAGTTCGGTCCGGCCGAACTTACTGCTTTTTAACTTATTTAGTGCGAACTTTGCTTTCCAAAATACTCCAAACACAATAGTCCAACGGATTGGTATCCGGAGATTTTGGTGGCCATTGTGCGCTGGGTGAATGAAGCGAAGAACCTCATTTTGTAACCATTATTGGGTGGCGCGTGCTAAGTGTAATGGGGCTGAGTCCTGTTGGAATGTCCAAGGTCTGCGGCCAAATACGCCCAAGGCTTTAATTAACCCTCCAGAATATTTTCGCGATAATATTCGGCATTTATTCTGATGCCACGGTCGATTAATACGAGCAGAGAGCGACCATCGGCTGTTATGGCGGTCCACGCCATCACCATGGCCGGCGCTTGAGTTCTGGTGGCCAACCGAAGGTGCACATTTTCAGCTGATTTCTTGGCAAGTAAACACGATAATTGTTTGTTTACAAACTGCTGGACAACGAATGTTTTCTCATCGGAGACGGAGAAAACCAAATTCGCCAGTTCACCACTTTCGGCCAAGCGAAGCAACTCTTTAGCTCTTTTCAGTCTATTTTCCTTCTGTTGCGGTGTAAGT